ATACAGATGTTTCATTTGTATTTTTTACTTTTTATTTTGAAATAATTTTACATATATAGATATGTAAAGATAGTTACAGAATTTTCAAATATTAACTACTCAGTTTCTTCTAATATTATATGACCACAGTACAATGACCAAAAGTAAGAAATTAACACTGGTACAATATCATTAACTAAATTACAGATTTATCACCTTTTCACTAATATCCATTTTGTTTCCGCACCCAATATAGCTTTCTACATTGTGTTTAGCTGTGTTCCTTAGTCTCTTTTAATCCCAGACAGTCCAACTGCTTATTATTGTCTTCCATGACATTCTTTTAGTTTTTATTTTTTTCAGTGCTGGGGCAAGTGCTCTACCACTGAGATGCAGCCCAGCCCTTCCCAACATTCTTTTTTTTCTTGAGGCCAAGTCTCACTATGTAGTCCAGTCTGGCCTTGAACTCACTAGGTAGTCAAGGCTGGCCTCGAATTTACAGCAATCCTCCTGCCTCAGTCTCCCGAGTGCTGGGATTACAGGTGTGCACCACCATGCCTCAGTACAACATTCTTGATGAATAGGTGTTTAATAAAATACTCCACAGTTTGCATTTGTTTGGTGTTTCTGCATGATCAGAATGTGGTTATGAGTTAGCAGAGGTGAGGTGCCTGTTTAGTACATTGTATCAGGGGTCCCTGTCAGTAGGTCTTGTTATGGGTGATGTTGACCTTGATTATTTGGTTAAAGCGGTGTCTACTATGGTTTTTAATTATTGTAAAGTTACTTCCTCTTTGTAAATAAAAAAAGACTTAGGGGGAAATACATTGAGGCTATCTAAGTTCATTGCTCCATAAACTTTTCCCCACTAATTTAAGTATGCATAGGTTGATGCTCCGTACAAGAATTTTTACCAATGTTATGGTGTTCTGACGATTTTCTATTTCCTCCTTTTCTTTTACATTTATGAATTGGAATTTTTCCTCTGGAGTTGTCCTTTCTCCACCATTTTTTCAATTACTTATTTATATCATTATAGACTTCGTTTATTTTCATATTCCAATACCTTATTTTGTTGCTGAACTTGTTTCAGCTTTGGCTGTTGAGAGCTCTCAGAGGCTGGCTCCTGTAACCTTCCACTGTGTGTCCCTGTTTATTGGGGCAGCCATATTTCCTTCTGTAAATCACAAGACACTGTAGGCTCATCTTGGATATCCCTGCCCTAGACCAAGACTCAATCACTTTTCAAATGAGCTCTGTGGATGTTATAAACCACAGTGGTGCGTAGTTCAAAACCCTCTACTCTCATCCACAGGATAAGAACAGAATCAGAAAAAACTGCAAGAACCTAAGAAGTCCAACCTTCAGACTGAGCAGGGGTTGGGAGACAATGAAGGGAAAAGAGAAAGAGCCATCAAAGACGTGGGAGGAAACTCAGAGCATGGTGTGGAAAAGTCCAGAGAAGACAGCCCTCAGCTGGAACTTCAGGGTGCCCCTTGTAGACTCTTACCTGATCCCACTTACCTCTGTCTCACTGTTTCCTCATCGGGAAAACTGGGAGCCAGATATCTTTGTTGTCCTGGGCTAACCAAATTCCTGACTTCTGCAAACACAGCCTCAACTCACACAGCCTACACACTTTAGACCTTCACCTCTCCTCCCACCACTCACACCTCTCAGCTTTCCAAAGACAGGGCCAGTTGCTTTTTCTTCAATCTTTTCCCAAACTGCCAGCCTACATTTATCCTTTCCCATTACAAATACCATGGTTCTCATCTTTTCTGTTTAGTACTTGGATTATATTCATTTAAAAAATGTTTCTATTTGTTTCATATCATTTATTTCTCAGCAATACTGTAGTTCCTTCAGATCAGAGACCATACTACATACTCTCTGGTATGTTTGGTAGTTAATAATAGAAATTTAATACATATATTTCAGTTTAGCTTTCATATCAACAAATCAACCACTATAGTCATCAAAGAAATAGCTGCATACTGGGAAGATTCCAGGAGTTATCTTATCTATGCGAGAATGTTAAAATCTACTCTTTAAGATACAAAGTTGGAATAGTTATGCAAATGGTTCATGACTTTGGTGATATTCCAAGAAAATGTAACCCTGAGTCAGAGCCATTATTTCTCACCAGGAAATAATTCATTAGAATATTCACAGATTATCTATTAATTAAGTCACTATAATATTTCACAGGCCAATTTGTCCTTTGTTTTAGAACAACTACCTGGTCTATTTCTATATTTCTATGTTCAACTATCTGTTTTAAAATTATTAGTATATAAAGCTATTGAATTTCAAAGGACAATGAGAGCATATTAATGGAATTCATTTTTTTAAAAAATCTTTGTTTTCTTATTAAAAATATAATGCTTATTAGTTAAAAAGTCAAGAAGTTGTAGATAAGCAAAAAGAAAATAATCCCAACACTGAAAACCAACATTTTATTGTATTATATACTATATGCATGTTTAAAATGTGTGCATGTGTATGTGTCTATGGGACGATTTTATACACAGGTTATTTTGTAACTTACTGTTTTGGCTTTGTGTTTAGTATCCTCTTACATTATTAACATTATTAAATATTTGTGTTATTACTGTGGTAGTGAAAGGAATTTCAGATTATACGTATCAATTTATTAAACTAATCTTATGTCTGAACATTAATTAGGGTTTGTCCAAATTTCCTCCAGTATGTTACACTGAGATGAATATTCTTATGCTTAATTGTGAACACATTAGTAATTATTTCCTTAGCATACATTCTTAAATCTGAATAGGTATGTATGAAGAACTTTATACAGATTTTTTTTAATGAACATTGTCCACCTTCCCACCATAAAAGTTGTGTAAATCTATTATCCTAATCATTAGTGGTTAAAGCAATTTTCAAACAATATATAATTTTATATTTTTAAAGGAATCACACAGCCCACTAAAGTCTCTAAAAAGATGATAAAATAAAGCTACACTCACTTTTTTCTATTATGGAAATGTCCTTTTCCCCTACAACTTTGACTAATTTTTAAATAATCTGCTTCCTGATATACTAATGCAAAACAACACACATTATTTAGTGTGGGTTGCAAAGAAAGCAAAAAGTTCTCTGAGGTAATGTAGTCCAAGGGACGCTGGCTGCAGCTAAGAACAATACTGTGTTTTATTAATCGGGGTCCTATTTATAAACCTCTTCTTAACAAGTTATTTTAAAGTAAGTTTTCCAGTTTTCCTTGTATTAATAGTGCATCTGACTTAAACATAGTATTTTACACTTTATCTGAGATTTGCCAATTTTTCTTAAAAAAAGAATCAAGACCAGGCAACACTGTCATGTGCATAAACTTATGCGGGGATTGTGGTTCTGCCACCTGCCTCACAAGTGCAAGGTCCAGAGTTCGATCCCTGGTACCAAAAAAACCTTATGGTTGAGAGACTGTTGGTACATTTAAAGTAGGAATAATGAGTTTTCTCAGTAAAAATGTAATCACTGGTTGTTTATTGGTACTATAAACTTACCTATAAACTCAGCTTTACACAAATAATTCAAGACAGCATAATTTACATTTTAAATGACAGAATAACAAATAACACAATAGGCCATAACTATTATTTTAAACAGACCAAGTCCAAGAAAAGAAATACAAATATGTAGACATATTAGCAGTGCTTAAATTTCAAACTTAGTTTCACGAATTACTTATTATTTGAGATGTCTTTACTGCTATGCTGTGTATACATATTGAGCTTACTTCATGTAAAATATTAATATGACAACTTAAAACTGTAATTATTATTTATTTCAAGAAAAATATTAATTTGAGTACTTAAAAGAAACAAGTAGCTGACATATATGTTTTCTCATTTCTACAGATAAAAACAGAAGAACGACATAGGTTAAGACAACTTTCAAACAAGTTTTCAAACAATACATACCAGGCTGTGGTTTAAAAAAAGTAGCCACCTTCACCATCAAAGATAAAAAAGTTGGAGGATAAAAGGTAGAGGATAAAAATCAACCTATTTTTTTTCTGCTTGCCTAATATCAATCATGAGTGACTGAATCTACAAGTTTGCTTTAAATTGAGTATCCCTTTAAACTAATACTATATTCTTAAAAGGAGATGAAGTTGGCATCCAGGAAAAAAGAAACATTTTAGTGATCCCTGAAGAGTCGTTAAGAAAGCCAAAGATTTCATAAGCAGTCTGTTTGGCAGTGGCAACAGCAGAAGGAAAAACTTACTAAACAAGATAGTGCCCACCAGGATGCAGGGATCTGCACACATAATCTCATTTTGTTATCTGTAATATCATTACTATTTTCTGCAAGTTGGACAATATATATTTGGTAAAACAAGCAATGCTGCTCTTAAAGAAATACAAGGTAAAAGAACTGATAAGTAATTAGCAAAATCAGGTTTACTTGGTCAAGAACATGACATATTAATAAATCACATATAAGATTGCCAGAGTTACCTATCTATAGGGCTTGCTGGTGAGCAAGAAGAGGGCTTCTACAAAAGGGCCTTGCAGTTTAAATGCTAAGACAACGTCTCTGAAAATGCATGCTATGCTCTGGAAGTTTATAATAACACAGAATAATCATACACATATACACACATGACACTTCATTCTCTCCCTATGACAGAACATCCTGAGTGTTCTAAAACATTCTAAAATGTTTTTCTAGTTTAAATTTTTGGAAGTTTTTTGTTTTGTAGATTAAGAATATGCATTAAAAAAGTGATATATTATTCTCCAGAAACCATAATCATTAGAAACTTATGGAGGAAGGTGAAGATTCATATAAATTAGCACTGTACAACTCAGTAATTCTGAGAGCTTTAGTTCCTCCTTTATGGAAACTTGAACTTTCCTCTCTAGGGAAGGATATAACTAGATACAGTGATTCTTGTTACAACTTAAAATTAAATTTCAAAAGCAGCTGCACTTAAACACTGAATACCTGGGTAGCCCACCTTTGACTCCATTCCATCTCAATGTTAGTAATAATGTCAGGTTTTGATGAACGTATTTCTTCGTTAACTTGTTCGTTTTGTTTCTAGTCTCATCCAAATACATGCTGTGTATTTCCTGTTTTTTTTTTTTTAAGCCTCTGACCAGGAAGTGCTCTCCTTTTGCTGACTGCACAGAGGGGACAGGAGTTGCCTAAGGAAGGGCTCTAAACTCTTGGCATTCACAGAACAGCAGCCTGGCATCATCTTGTTAGAAAAAAATATTGGAACCTAACCCAAACCTTTTGAATCTGAATCTGTCTTGACACAAGATCCTCCAGGGGTGCAAATGCAAATCAAAGTTTAGTCAGCACTGTCCTGTAGCAGCTTCAGTCTTCCATGTTCAAATATTTTCTTCCTGGCTATTATCCCCCTATGAGGAAGGACATGTAGCTATGTGAACATTGACCCATTTTCAGACATGAAATAGAGTGGAGGCTTTTAATTTACTTTCATCTACTTCCTGTGTATATGGCCACTGTATTTTCTGGAGACATTCACCTTCATACAAGGGGATCAGGGCTGTTACAGCAAGACTGTAAAGAAAAAAGAAAAAAAAGAGTTACGGTTCAGCCTAAATAGAATATTTTAGTCTTCAAAAAGATTTTTTAAAAAACTTGAAAGCCAAGATTATAAAAAAGGGCCTTTATTTTTATATAGGGCCCCACTAAGTTGCCCAGGCTAGCCTTGAATTTGCAATCCCTGTGCCTCAGCCTTCTCAGTAGGTGGTATTACACGTGTGAGTCATCAAACAAAATGTTTCTACCATTCCTGTCTTTCCCTCTACTATATCACAAAGCAGATGGAGGCAGATCATAATTTTTTTTTCATAGAACAGATATTATGGTTTTAGTTTTCCCTATCTGCTCTACACACACCAATTCCCTCCTCCCTGCTAGCACTTGATGACACCTAGGTAGGTATAGGGGAGTGGTGGGAAACCTATGGCACCTGGGCTACAGCCGACTGTCTGTATCACTGAAAGCTCTAAAAGGTTCACCTTCCCTGGTATAGGGTGATGGGAGGCCATGGGGCTAGTGGCTCATTTTCCCAGATGCAGGCCCTAGGTGGTCGTGTGACAGTAAATGTTTAACAACTACCTGGGTGTGGGTGTGGGTAAGGAGGGTGGAGCCCTGATTTGTAATGTTTGCCAAATCCTCTGATGTAAATACTCCCACCCTGGCTGATTTCAAGCTACCAAAGTGATGTCACTGAAAGTAGAGTAGGGAAGAGCCACATAGTGGTATTCCACTATGTAGTATTTCCAGACACACAGTCGTAAAATGTAGAACAATAAATGGGAAGTGATGATTTGTGAATGTTAATTAGCTCTGTTTTAAATATAATTTGTTTAAATTTAAGTTTGTATAATTTAATTTTTAATAATGGCTATGTTTAACAACCGGCTGGCAAAATACCTAAAAAATGAATAGTTGGCTAAAGTATAGCTCTGCATTCAGCATTCCACAGCTTCCAGAAAGCTGCTCCTTTGGCCCTATACCATTCCCCAAGGTCCTGAGGTTATCATCTAGGACCTAGAAAGTGCTCTTGTCTCATCATGGCCTTCATGAAGGAAGTGGGGCCCCACAGGTTCATTTCTCCATGAAGAATGAAGGGGACCAGAGGCCCTGGGACCTCTTTGATACCAGAGGAAATGTTCAGGGCTATGGCAGTAATGGTAAAGGCCAGCACAGACCACCTCAAAAGATCAGGTGGCACTTGATTACATTTCAGTGGCCCCAATTCCAGGGAGAAGATGATTTCAGAGGGCTGTCCATGATCCTCCAATGCCACCAGGATCCAAGACCCCATCACATAACCAGATGCTCTATAGGCAACGAGAAGAATCATCAGGGAGGTAGGGAATCTGAGGAAGGCTGTGTATTTTCCTGGGTCATCCATAACAATGTTACTCAGAAGGGTCCAAGGATCAGTGCCAGTTCCCAAACTGCTACTGGTCTGAGGTGAGATAAATACAGATGGGAGGTTAGGTTTAGGCATTTTATTTTAGATTAATGTTGCCATGACATCCTAGTATTTGATCAGGGGACTCTTCTTGTTGAACAGGATGTAGACCAGTTTAGGTGTGCTGAACAGGCAAGGTGAGTTGCTTATGGCAGAAGCTAAACACTGGTCATGAGATAAAGGACTATATTTGGTGACAACAGACAGGAAAGACCAATCAGTTGGAAACCATTCGTCTAAAAACCTTGTAAAACCATCACCCTTGGACGGGAACTAAATTCTGATCAGTCTGAATCAGAAGTTCTCGGAGTGTGGTCTGCGGACCAACAAAAGCAGTATTACCTGAGAACTCATTAGAAATGTCAATTCTAGGGCTCCACTCCACATGTGCTAAATCAGGAACTTAAACAGGAGAGAAGGCCAGCAATTTGTAGGTACTGGGTTTTTTTTGGTACTGGGGATCGAACTCAGGACCTTGTGCTTTCGAGGCAGGCAGCGGAACCACTGAGCTAATCCCCAGCCCCTAGCAATTTGTGTTTTAACAAGTCTTGCAAGTGACTCTGATGCATGTTTCAATTTAAGAACCACTAGATTAAATTTGTCAGATTCTTAAAGTAGAAGATTTATGTTCAAGATGGAGGGTAATGAAACAGCACTACATGTAAATTATCCATGTTAGGCTGTAAAACTGGAGCACCGGAGAAGGTAAGACTGGATAAAGAAAAAGAAAGAAAACTAAACTTTGCACATTTGAATGATATTAAGTAAGCAAGGCAAGACGGTACCATTGAACACCTTTGGGGGGTAATTATTTTTTATTTTTCTCTACAAATTTACTGCTACTGCTTGTGGCTCCACAATTCCAAGCATAAACTATCTCCCAGCCCACATCAGACTAGAGGTGGTAAGAATAGAGTCATGGTAGTAGTAACAGAAGGGTAGTTCTGTAACTTTATGCTCCCCACACAATTGCTGGGCTTCTGGCTTTTCTTACATTCTGTATGGCCTATTAACAGTTCAGGAAGCCCTCTCCTGACTAGTCTGTGTCATTCTTCCTTCTTTATCTCTGCCTTGGCTATTCTCCATTCCCCACCTAGGCAACTTAGTGCCTCAGTGAGGCTCTAGCTCAAAATAAAAAGTAAAAAGCCTGCGCCTACTGTAGCTCAATGTGAAGGCCCTGGGTTCAATCCCTAGTCTGGAAAAAAAAAGCATAGGTTTCTGGCCCCACCCTGAGATTCAGATTCAGTAGATCTGAGTAGAGATACAGGAGAAGGATTCTGCATTTCTGACTAGTTTCTAGGTGACACTAATTTTGCTTATCCATGGACCACACTGACCAATCAGCCCCATTCACAGTCTTGACTACTCCCAGCTCTAGTTCATGCTTCCAAGGAGAACTTTGTTTCCTGTTCCTATTGCACATCTTCCTACCCCATGCCTTTGTTTCATTCATTTATTCACTCATTCATGGATTCAATGAGTGGCTCATTATTTCACCAACATTTTTTAAAGACCAAAATGATTGGCTCTATCAAATGCCATCATGAGGTCTATGGTAAAAGGGAGGAAAGAAAAGAATACCTTTTTCATCTACAGAGTGCTTCATGGTTTCCAAAGCACTTCCACATGCAAAATACGATCTTCTCCAGAGTCCTGGAAGGCTGACAGGGCAGGGATTATTTTACACCTCTCACAAGTGAAGAGACTTATGGCCAGGGAGAAGCAGCTCATCCCGAGTAATGCCAACTAGCCTATGTTTTCCCACCCAATCACCCAACTTCAGTCTTGGCTTACTATATTTTCTTTTTGCTGTCCAAATTATGTCTTTTCTCTAAAGCCCAAATATTGCTTCCTCTGTGAAACTTCCCTGGTAATCCTGGTTAAAATAATTTCTCCTGCTTACAGTACTTTATTTTGTCTTTTTACTGGCTGTTTTAAAACCTCCCTTTCTAGATTCCAGCTTCCTTGAGAACAGAACCAATACCTGGCTCTCTGTTTTGTTTCCCATTGTGCCATTCTGAGTTTATATTAGAACCCCAAAGAAGTGCTGAGAAATGAATGAAAGATGAAGTGATGAAATTTTCAAGTCATTAGTTTTATTCATAAAATATTTAAGGATATATTTAAAGATAAAAGCGAGTTTGTATTATCCCTTTTCTCTCTTAAATAAATGGAGGTGGGGAAGATTAGCATTAATTAAGTGCTTACTGTGTGCCAAGTGTTTTATATTATTACATTTTCCCCTTATAATCTACTAGATAAATAATAGATAAATATTACAGTTCAGATTTCCAAGTGGAGGTTCTAAAGCCTAGAACTATTTAGCAACTTAGCCTAGAGACACTGAAGGCATGCTGAAAAGGGAAACTCTTAATTCCATTTAACATCATATGGTAACATGAAATCACATCTAATTATATTCTGACAAGAAATTGTCCAGTACCTGTCAATATAAGAAATTAATTCATATTCCTATGTGAATATAGTTATAATAATCTTGAGATCACCTTTTAGTAACGTTGTTTCTCACATTGTTACTACTTCTTATCATTGATTCCCCATTGCATGTCAATCCTTTACTCCATTCTTTCAAGAAGGTAAAGGAATTTCCTTATTCCCTTACTCTTTTCTGGTTCTTCATGTGACCAGTTATCACTGGTTCTGAAATGCTGGCCTGAGACTTAGATGGTAAATCTGTCTTAACAAGTGGAATTGTGTCATAGTAGAAAGTGCCTGTTAGAAAACAGTGTGGAAGGCTGGGGGACATTGTGGAGGGTTATGGACACACCCCAAAATTCCTCGCGGATAAGCTTCAAAGGAATAAAAATCCAAGGAAAAAAGGGAACCCTCAGTCATTAAGGGAATGTATTAAACATTTACCGTGTGACAGAACTGAGAACTATTAAGGAGTTTTAACCAAACAAACTTTGCCAGGAGATGTCAGATAGGTTTGACAGTGGCAGTTAAGCAACAGGCAGCTTAGTGAAATGGTAGACTCACCTAGGAGAATTGACAGGGAAGTTCTGCAGCTCAACTTAACAGGACAGAGACCCGCGACATCCTGAAAAGCAAACACATACACGCAGGTGACTGTTCTCACAAAACCTTGAGATAACAATGTGTGTTTCTTCTTCTTACAAGAGCTGAGATACTCCAACTGGTTAACACCTATTAGTTTGGTTGACAGGGGTTATTACAAGGTCTTGTCATCTCATTAGCCATTAAGACAGCTCACCATAAATATTGGGTTCATAACATTTTAAAATACCTGCGATTTTTACAATTTTAATGGAACTATTTCAAACAATGAGGATACTCTACCAAAAGCTTCCAAATGTTTTAGGTCTGTCAGGTGAGGATAAAAAAAAAAGTTTTAAAGCACTTTTTTCAGTTTCCCTGGGAAGGTCAATTCAGAAAAAGTAAATTCACAGCAAATGTCCTACCTCTTAAATAGCTTTCTATTGTTATTCAGGCTGTCAGATCTGGGAGATGGTGAAAAGTCTACAGATAGGTCCAAGTGTAGTGGGTATTTTCTCTAATTCACAACTGATGACGCCAATGCAAGAGTGGCTTCAATGGGCAGATTCAATCGCTCATATATGTGTGCTCAGACATGAGACATAAGCAGGAAGCTGGGCTTCTTTTTGATTTTTTCTTTTTCTTTTGAGACAGGTTCTTTCTATGTAGTTCAGGCCAGCCTTGAACTCACTATGTAGCCCAGGCTGGCCTTGAACTCGTGGTGATCCTCCTGCCTCAGCCTCCTGAGTGAAGGGATTACAGGCAGGCACCACCACACTTTGCTTAGCTGGGGATTCTTGAACATAACACATCACATATTTGATTTCTGTAACTATTTCTTAGAAAAAGTTCAAAACCAACACTTCAACCAATGGTAGACTGGTTCCTAGAAACCTCTGGACTGGGGAATTCATAGTAAAGACAAATTAAAAAAAATATATATATATATAGAAACAAAACTGTTGCTAATGAGCACGTCTATCTGAGCATCAGCTGTGTGTGGTGGCGGTGGGGGGCGGTGGGGTCACTCTGCCTGCTTACCAAGGAGCTCCAAAACAATGAGGTGTGCTTGCAAAACAGTGATACAACAAAATAACTTCTGCTTGCATATTTTCTGAGTGATGAGGATGTTCTAAGTAACATTTTAACAGATTGGCTTCTCACAGTCACCTTCATGGGTAGTCACCGTCATAACACTCATTTTACAGTATTTACTTAGAAACAGTCAGTTACTTGCCCAAGATCACATACCTAGTAGGTGACAGCACAGCCAGCCTGGCTCCTGCCTGCTCTTGCTCAGTGTACTCTACTCCTTTTTAATGCATATTTTTCCAATATAAGAAATGCATGTTACAAAAACTTTGAGAAAATGAGAAAAGAAAATATAGTGTTCCTAACCTCATATAATTGCTGTTAGTCTGCTGATACTTACCTTTCACATTTTATACATATTTTACAATTTGTAGCTCTATGATCTTAATTTTTTTTTCTCTTTACATTGTAAGTAAAAGTAAAAGTGTTTAGAATGTTCTTTTTCATTTTTATTTTTTTTTGGTACCGGGGATCGAACTCAGAACCTGGCGCTTGCAAGGCAGGTGCTGTGCCGCTGAGCTAAATCCCTAGCCATAGAATGTTCATTTTTAACACCTGCAAAATATTATATAGACTGGGTATACTGTGCTTACTTAGCAAGTGCAGAGCTGCTAGCTATTTAGGTTGTTTCCAAAAGCCTGGAGCAGGTCAAAGCGTATAGGGAGCCAGAGAGCCCAGTTCAAATCCTTGCTCCTTTACTCACAAGCTTTATCATCTTGAGCAAGCTACTTGACCTCTCAGTGTTTAGTTTTTTTCATCTGTAAAATGAGTGCAGTAATAGTAATCAGCACCTAGAGTTGTGAGGGTTAAATGGAATAAAGCACTGAAAACACTGTCTGCAGGTAGTCATTACTATCATAAATAGTATGATGTATTCTCAGAGATAAGAGTACTAGGTCAAAAGACATAAAGCATTTTTTGTTCAAATAATTGATTTATGGTGCTAAATTATTTCCAAAAAAAATACTGTATAGATTTATATATCAATAGTTATATAAGAAGCCATTTTTCTTTTGTTTTTAGAAGCCATTTTTCAATGCACTAAATTTTCTACTGCTTTGTTGCTTTGTCTTCCGGCTCACTGACATGCTCAACTGTTTCTATTGTGTTCAATTTCCATGTGTTTAACACAGTTACCATTAGTCACTAAAATTTTCTATCTTTTTATTCAACATCCTTAATTTATAATCACAGATATGTTAAAGTCTTCTACTCCTGTACCTGGATCTCTTCTAGGTCTGGTTTTGGACATCCTAGCCTGTACTCAGTATGTATTGAATGCCAAACACTGTATGGAAAGTTGTAGACATAAATTGAGCCTCTGGAAGATATTATCTTTATCAAGTGATATTTTACTTTAGCATCTTAGAGTTAGTGACATAGGTAAGATCTCTTTAGGAGTCCCTTCTTTCTGGGTTCTTTACCTCTCAAGTTCTCTCCAATGCCTTTAAAGAAATGTTTGCTAGATTTAATTCAGCTTTTCTACTTGTTCTTGGAGCATGAGTTAATCTAAATGTAATAGCTAGGAGTGTAAGTCCTTGACATTAATTTTTAAGTAATTGATTAAACCTAAATATAAGTTATTTTCTTTCAGTGTATATTTATTTGATTATTATTAAGGCTGGATATTTTCCTGCATTTGCAGATATGTTTCATCTTTTGTGAAATGTGATTCTATTCTTATCCATGTACTGGTTCTTTTCTTACCTCATACACTGGCTGGGTGTTGAGTTCAATAAGCACATATAAGAATCCTATTAACCCTCTCTCTTACTATGTTCAAATAACTGCACCTAGGCAACTGTTTGCTTATATTATTGTTCTTTAAATACAATCAAATGTGTTTTATTGTTCACTTTGCAATTTGTTACAACATTCCAAGCTTATAAAATAGGCCCTTCAACTTTCTACTGTTTGAGTTTTAGAAATTTATTTTGTGTGGACAAATGTAAAATTTTTTTTTGCAAATTAATCAGAACATTTTCTTTTCTTTTTGTTGTTTGTTTGTTTTGAGGGTACAGGCTGGTAGTACAGGCTGGTCTTGAACTCAAGGCAATTGTCCTGCCTCAGCCTCTCAGGTGCTGGGATTACAGGCATTGTACCACCACACCCAGCAATCAGAATATATATTGCAAAATATTTTCTTTCTGTTTTGTGCTTGTCATTATCAAATATTCCACTCATATAAAATTTATTTTGACCATATACTTTGCCTCATTAATCTATTTTACTGCCAGTACATGGTTTTAATTATCTTTATAATAAATTTTAAAATATGAAAGAATAGTCTCTTTATTACTCTTTCTTCTCAAATTGTTTTGCTATTCTTGCCTCTTAAGATTTATGGTAAAATAATGGTCTTACTACCTCAAAATATATTTACAAAAAAGAATATTATTGTAATTTCATTAAATATATATTTTGGAAAGGGTTAACTACAAAAATATTGTTTTAAACTATAAACCAGTATTCTGATTAAGATTATTATAATTCTCAAAATTTTGTTTATATGGCTCATATATTTCTGATTAAAATCAGTTACAAAGCTTTCTATACAGTATCTTCTTGCTCTGTAAAAATATCTTTAGAAGCCCATGTTTGAGTTAAAAGTAACTTATTTAGGAACACTGCTGATTTATATTAATGTTTATGTCTTCTAATATTTTACTCATTAAATTTATTCATTTTAAAAAATTTATTCATATTTTAATTGATTCCTTTGGGATTTCAAACTATGAAAGTATTTTTCCATTACATAATGGTAAGGCTGTATCTTTTTTCTCCTCTTTATAGGTCTTCCTTTTTGGTCTGTTTTATTACATTGATCAGGGCTTTTTAAATATTATTAAGTTACATTCCTGGGACAAAACCATGAGAGCAACTTCACCAATTTTAAACATGAACGTTTCTAAAAATTTTACATTATAATGTTGATAACTAGTATAAAATATTTATCATCATGTTGAGGAAATATTTTGTTTTTCCTATATTTACCATTTTATCAGGAACAGGTATTAAATTTTTACTTAATGCTTTTAAAATCTATTGAATTATTTCATTTTCTTCATTCATCTACTACTATTAACTATTTCATGTATTACAAGTGGTGAATGCCTGTAGTCTCAGCACCCAGGAGGCCGAGGCAGGAAGAGAGCAAATTTGAACCCAGCCTGGGCAATTTAATGACTTTTCAACACCCTGTTTCCAAAAAAAATTAAAAAGCAGCTGGGTATGTAGCGCAGGGTGAATGCTCTGGTTTGACTCCTCAGTATGAGAGAAAGGGGGCGGGGAGAAGAGGAGAAGAGAAGGAAAGGAAAGGAAAGGAAAAAGAAAAAGAAACTTAATATTGCTAATTTTGTAAACTTCTATATTGGCTTGGATACATACTCTTTTTATGTGGTAAGTTCTATTTATATTAAATAAATAGAATAAATTATTATTTGTTTAAAGGTATGGATCAAGTGATCATTTTGTGTCACTATTCCTTCATTGGTCTTAAAACTATTAATGATTATACAATCGTCCCTTTTGTTTACTATGTTCCGACAAAAATTCTGCTTTACTTGATATTCATATTGCCATATGTGATTTGGATGTGAAAATGTTAGGCTGAAAAAGAACCTCTGCTATTAAAAAGTGTTTCTGTGTTATTCTGACTCTTTTAAGCAACACTAAATCATTAGGCTTTCATTTTAATCTAGTCCAAGGACCTTCACATTTGAATAGGAAAATTTAATCCATTTATACTTGTCATAATTTTAAAGCTCGATTAGACTTATAATTTTTTCAATAGTTCTTCGGTGTCTTCTTTATCTTATCTTTCATATGGACTATGTTTAGTTTTTTTTTTTATCTTCTACAATTATTAAGAAAACAGATATCCTACATCCAGTTCAATGAGTATCTGCATGAAATTGTCCTCAACTACTCTAAAATACCTTCTATCTAAAGCAACAACTAAAGCTTTTGTTTTCTTCCTCTCCTCTTTCCAAATTGTGATTACAGATTGTTAAAATTTTTATTATATTGAAAACACTGCTTTCTTAGTAAAAACTACCCAGCCACAAGCATCAATTCTTTGGTTTTTTTTGGGTTTTTTTAGGAGTAGGAAAAATTTACTGAGAGAAAGCAAGCTTCTAAGAGAGACAGAAGGGGGACCGGAAAGTGGATTGGCCTAACATCAATTCTTTATTCACTTTGATTTTGGATAATTTACTCATTTATTAGCCTTCACCTTTTTTTTTGGTACTGGGGATCGAACTTGGGTCCTTGTGTTTGCAAGGCAGACAGCGGAACCACCAAGCTAAATCCCCAGCCCAGCCTTCACCTTCAATGCTTATCTATTTTGTTAAAATTCCCATTTTTGAGTTTTTATACACACACACACACACACACACACACACACACACACACACACACCAGTGATCTGGACAATATCTTTCTGCAGCTTTTGCAGAAAAGACTCTGGGTTGTTATGTTTTCTGATACTTGGAATATTTAAAGTTTTATTCTGTTGCCTTTACAAATCAACCAATAACTAAGCATACAATATGTAGAATCGAACCAGTTTCTCTTAAAATTATGTGGAAATTTAACCTGAAGTCTTGTTCTTGTTCTTCATAGGAAATATGAGGGCAGATGACAAAAGCATGTATGTTTTTCTTCACATATACATGCAAAAATTTTTTTGCCTAAAAATTTGAAAACTTACTAGCTTATGACAGGTATTTATTTGTTTCTTAATTTTGATCTACAGAAATCTTACAATTTTGATGCAGTTTTTCCATACAGACAGTTTCCTTCTGTTCTAATTTTGACTTTTTCTTCAGATCCATCTGCTGGCTTTTAGGGGAGCATATTATTTTACTCATAAATTTAAGATACATTCATTTACTACTAATAGTATATATACTATGTGAAGCCTTCAGTTAGGAGGATTATAAAAATAAGCTATTATCCTTCAGGAGTTTACATTCTAAGCTGGAATACCTATAATTTGCCTATTCACTTTATCTTTTATCGTTTTTGGTTATTCCCTTAGGTGTTCCTTACATACATTTTTTTCCCTCTGTATCTCTTTATTTCTGCAAAACAGAAACTTTACCTGCTATATTTTTCCATCCTGTCATGATCTATTATTTTTACCTGTTCTTGTTTAATTAAAAATAATAAAAGTCTCTCCTGGTATGTTGTTATCATCAAATTCCTAAGAAAGGTCAAATTATCAGAAGTTACTATAAAAACAATTATTTTTAAGAGGGAAAGGGGTTAGGGATTAAAGAGCTTCAAATGCACAATAATAAGATTTTTTTTTTCACTATAGTAGTCTCAAAGATAAATGTGTTTTATATTTCTAAACGCTTTTAATTCAAATTACAAGTAAATTTATCTATCAAAACCAGTAAATTAGTCTTAAACATTACTGATTAAATAATGTAATACAATATAAAGCAAGAGCAGTTCTTAGATAAGGAATTTCTAGGCCCAT